TGTCCAAAAATTCTTTGAGGGCAAAGCTCTCAAAGAATGCTCTCCGCAGGAGCATTGGCTTCTTCACATGAAGGAAATTTTTTTTTAGCAATGTTATAACATTATATATAAATATTTTTTTTAATTTGTATCACCATTAAAGGTCACGTGATATAAAATTTTATTGCATTTTTGAGCACAACTTACAATTCTGAGTTTTGAAGTTTTTCCCAAAATTGGCCACGAGGCGCAGCAAGTTGCGGGACTAGGTGACTTGCACCATAGGATATTCCTTTTGAAAATTCCAATTTTTATAATAATAAAATCAATAATAAACCTTGCTGTATATATAGTTTGAATATTTAAGTAATTTAACAACCCATGATTTCTAAATAATTTAATAAAATGAATGAACAAACCTGAGATTCCAATAATAAATAAAACAAATAATTTGAATAAAACAAATAATTTGAATAAAGCGAATTAAATTTTTAATTCGAATAAACTTTTTAATTCGAATAAGAATTTGTATTACGAATAGACGCCCTACTATCCATCCATTCATTACCCATTCATTATCCAACATTTATTGTTATTACGAAATCATTGGTGGGCATGCATCTATGCAACTATTTGTTTATTTTACACCATACGTATTTTTTACACTGCAAAAACTCACATAATAACTAACTATACATAAACCTTATAAAAATGTAGCTTAGGTTTTGATTTGCATTCATATTCTTGATAATCTAAGCTATAAATTGATATAAATTTTCATTGTAGCAGAGATTAATATTAATCAAATCAAAAATTGCACAACCGTGTAATATAAATATATGCTATTAATGGTATGTTGATCTAATAAAATTTCTTATGAATCAATTGTTATACACTGATTGGTTTTAAAACGACTATTCTGAAATTATCTAATGAGCCAAGCCTGTTTCTTACAACTTACATCCAGCATTTTAACTCAGACAGGGCATATCACAGTTATTCCCTGGGTCATGTCAACCTGATTTTTTAGAGCAGAATTTAGCATTGGAGGAACTGCTAACCATATATTTGAGAAATATCCAAAGTTTCACTGTGGGTACAATTTCATTGAAAGATACTGGGGACATGCAAAACGGGAAACAAGAATTATAAATATGATGATTTGTTGAGAATAGTTCCAGATGTACTTAATAGTGTTCCCATTAAAACAATTCGAAAGTTTGCAAGAAAGTCATGGAGATATATGGATGCATACGGAAGTGCTTAGAAGGTAGAATCGCTGATTTGGCAATAAATAAGTATAAATCATATCGTTGGTTACCAGATAATATTAACGAATTTTTTGAAATCGAAAAGTTGTATTTTTTAAAATTATTGCACGTGACATAAGTTACTCTAAATACTAAATTTGGGACGATCGTTATGTTACCTTTCAACTCAGTCAGCATAGAGAGACATTTTTTGGATACTGGAAAAGGACGGGGAACAGGTTCAAGCCACACACACCTGCCCATCTCCCGTCCTTTTCACGTGTCCAGACTTTTTTTTGGTAAACCAGCCAGTAACTTTGTAGAACTTATCACAATGGACATAGTTACCGGTGGATTTTCCAAAAAATGTCTTTATGCTGAGTTGAAAGGTTTCAAGTCAGGTTACTATTAAAAAAAAAAAAGAGTATTCATTAATATTAATATTAGATTTCGGTATAGATGTAACTTCGGTAAATCGAGGTTCGTTATTATTATTATATAGTAAGTAGGGAAAATAGATTTTGTTCCCACGATATTTTTAAGTTTTTTCTTGTTTGAAGCTAAACGAAATAAATATGAATAGTTTTTTGTTTTTCCTTGTCAATCTTGTTATTATTATACAATTCACTTTAGGATTAGAAAATGGAGTTGGAAGAACCCCTGCTATGGGGTAAATATATCTAAAAAAAAAAGTTTATTTATAATTTTTTATTTTATGGGATTTCATTTTTTTTTGTTTTTTAAAAAACTGGTAGTTGGAATTCATGGAATAAATTTGGATGTAATATCAATGAAACATTAATTCGTGATATTACTGATGCATTAATTGAAACAGGGTTGAGTGATGTTGGGTATCAATATGTGAATTTGGATGATTGTTGGCAAAAAACAAGAACTTGGAGTGGGATAATTACTCCAGATTCAGAGAAATTTCCATCTGGATTGGAAAGTTTATCAGATTATATTCATAGTAAAGGATTATTATTTGGTTTATATTCAAGTGCTGGTAAATAATATTAAATTTATTTGAAAATGAGGTGAATTTAGAAATTTATTACATAAATATATGCACTCATACAAACATACTCAACATCAACATTATTCGTTCATTATATTATATTAGGGTTTTGGACATGTGCAAAACGTCCAGGATCATTATTACACGAAGATATTGATGCAGAGTTATATGCAAAATGGAAAGTTGATTATCTTAAATATGATAATTGTTGGAATTTTGGAATAGGAGCACAAAAAAGATATACATGTATGAGATTTATTATGTGTATATATGTGTGTGTGTGTGTGTGTGTGTGTGTGTATGTATATAAAATATAAATCATTGTAACAATTTTAATAATTTTATTTATTTATTAGGGATGCATGATGCATTGAATATAACTGGTAGACCTATTTTATATTCAATATGTAGTTGGGGTAAAGAAGATCCTTGGATTTGGTATTTATTTAAAAGATTATTATCAAATAATAATAATAGTAATTTACAATTTAAATATTCAAAATAAAGGGGATCGGACATAGGAAATTCATGGAGAACAACATCTGACATTAGTGATTATTTTACTACTAATCAAACAAATGATCCCCAGAATTGTAATCCATGTGGAGTGTTAGAAATATTAGATTCTACAGTTGGCCTAGAGAAATATTCTTCACCAGGAGGATTTAATGATTTAGATATGCTGGAAGTTGGAAATGGGGGAATGACTTTTGAAGAATATAAAAGTCATTTTTGTAAATAATAATATTTTATTGTTTGCCTTTTTTAATATTACATGAATATAATATTGATATTTATTTTAATTATTATTAAAATTTTTATGGATCTTTTTTTTTAGCACTTTGGGCAGCATTAAAATCACCATTATTAATTGGATGTGATGTTCGTAATATGACAGATGAAACAATTCAAATTTTAAACAATACAGAAATCATTGGTATTAATCAAGACCCACTTGGTAAATCTGCAAAATTAGCATATCGTGAAAAACACAAAGATCAAGAAAAAGTTTCTACAATATCATATGATATATGGATTGGTGAACTTTCTAGTGACACTCAAGAACATGCAGTTGCCAGTAAATGATTTATTAATTAAATATTTTTTTACTATATGTATTATTTGTATTAATTAATTAATTAATAATTTATTTTTTGGTGGGAAAAAAGTTTTGCTTAATCGTAATGATGAGGATTATTCAATCAAATTTCCATTTGAATTACTTGGACCATTCTTTTCTTCAAGTTTCAATTCTGATACAACATCTCTTTTATTAAGAGATTTATGGCAACATAAAGATCTTGGTTCTTTTACTAAAGAGTAAGTAAAAAAAACTTTTTTTTTTTAAAAAAATTTTTTGTTAAATATTGATTAATCTTATTGGTTTTTTAGATACATATCTGATAAAATTCCTGCTCATGGAGTTGTAGTATTGAAAATAACCTATAGTCATCCTAAATTTAATTTTATTGCACAATTATCTTAAAAAATATTTTTTCTTTGATTTGTATATCATTCATTGTATAATAATAAATAAATATCTGTTGTTTCTCTTTTTTAAACATCATCACCACTAAAGTTTCAAATGGGTTGGGTTGAATGACATACCTGACTATAAATAGACCTGAGTTTTTTAATTACTGACCTGACCCAAACAATCAACATGGACAAGTACCAGAACAGATATATATTTTTTTTCAAAAATATATATACAGCAAAAGCCATCAAAGTGACACAAAGGGTATTAAAGTTAACAATTTAGCTAATTTATCCTGCTTACTGCCTCGGCAAATATGTGAGCACACTTTATAGTCCAATAGCAATGAATTTGATTACTTTTATCACTTTTGAATAAATATATATATAAGAAATAAATAGTAAGAATATTAAAACGAAAGAGGTTAGGTCACATGTCCAACATACGGTTGGACGGCACTTCTTGCAACACTTATAAGAAAGATCTATCGATCTTATGACTTTTGGGATTTTGAACTTCAAGTCTGGAGTCCAGCCAGTCCCCTAAGAATTGATTAACACACACTCTTTTTTTTTTTAATTAAAAAAAAATATAATTTATTATGATACAAAAAATTTGAATATCCACTATGTCAACCATAATAAAACGGCAGAAATAACAACAATTACAAGAATACCTTTAAGATTTGATATTTAAATTTGAAATAAAACACCATTATAAAATCACAATCACATTTTATTGGTGATTTTCAATTTATCATTCACTATATGTCTGGTTTTGTTCATTTATGATGTCTGTCACAAAATTCTTTGATACGAGTGTAAGCTTCTCTTAATTTTTCAGGAGGTGCTGTAATTACGATTCTTACTAATAATATTAATAATAATAATAATAGTAATAAGAATATATTTGTGAAAAGCAACAAATTATTTCAAAACTTACTGTAATTAGGATAGTTAAAACACTAAATAACCATTAAAACAATGTAAATAATTATCATTAAAATATAGTTAAAATAAATATTAAAATAAATAATTGCTATTTATACCGTTCCTGGCAAGCAAAGTACAGATTCTTCTTGCACTAATTTCTCAGTGAAATCCACATCATTCTTAAAATCTTTGAATTGATTAAAATTAATACCAAACATTATATACATAGCACCTTCAGGTATGATAACATTTAAACCGGGAATTTTTGCCAGAATCTCAGCACTGAGCCTAGCATTTTCTTCAAGCTGGGTAATGGTTGTTTGATAAAAAGATTCTGGAGTATTTTTCAACATATCAGGCAAAGCATGTTGCATCAAAGAATTAGCACCCAATATTAAATTTGCTAACGAATTCAATCCACTACGAACATTTTTCAATACATCATTACGGTCATGTATAAATACCCAACCAACTCTCCAACCTGGCACCAGGAACCTTTTTGCCAGACCACTAATTTTTAGGACTGGTACAGTTGTTGTTAAATTAGCTATTGGATAAAATTTTGAACTGTTGAATACCATGTCTTCATAGATTTCATCACTAATTATTGGTAATTTGTAAGTTTCACAGATTGATAGGATGGCCTCTAAATGTTCTTGAGAGAAATTAGACCCACATGGATTTGAAGGATTATTTATTAGAATACAAGCTGTATTCTCATCAATCAATTCAACCAACTGATTTAAATCCGCTTCCCATTTCTTTTCAGGCTATTTCAAATAATATGATATATAATATTGTGTTTTGATTAATAAATAAATAATAAATAAAATAATAATAAATAATGATCATTATGTATACTTGCCAATAAATTATAATATCTACATTCAATTCCTTTTGATTCAGAAATTGTTTGATAAAGAGAAAACCCGGGTCTAGGAAGTAGGATGTTTTGACCTTCATTGCATAATGCTCCAATTGTGATATTCAATGCATCAGATGCACCGCTAGCTATAACAATATCCTAACATATATAAATATATTATTTATTGTTAAAATTTATTAATGAAATCATTATTTCTATTAATATATTTATTTATTCTATTTACATTTGGTGTTAATGGAGCTTCTTTTGTGTTAAATTTTTCAGCCAAGGCAGCTCTTGCATTCTGAGCACCTAAAATAAAATGTTACTATTATTATATTGTTATTATTATTAGATTACTATGTATCTATCTGATGAGGAATACTTGCCAACAGCGGGTGGATAACCATTTGCTTTAAAAGATCTTAATTGTTTGATAACAGCTTCAACACAGTTATCATCTATCTTAAAGTTTCCATAATAAGTAGGATCACCTATAAACATAAATAAATAAATGTATGAATGGAAAGAAGAAAGGTAAAACGCAATAATGTTTAAAATCATTTATTTCACCTAATGCCAATGAAATATATTCTTTATTGGGATTTGGAGTACTCTGTAAATTGAAAACAACTTCACGAATAGGATTTATTGTTCTTTTTGACACAATCGATGCATCAACATTCCATTCTTTACAATTCCTTTTGGTATTATTCATTTTTCTAATCACCTGATATAACTTTTATTACACAAAGATTAAATGTGTCGACTATCAATTTATGCATTTGATAAAAGTAAATTATGCGTTAATTATGCATATAAATTTTCTATAATTGTGCTCAAATTATGGATCAAAAATTGAAATTTTATCATTGTCATTATTATCAATTTCATAAATTCTTTTGATTTTTTTATGAACAATGATTATCAACAACCCTGCTCATAAAATGATCACAAAAATATCCTCCATCAACCATGACTTAAAGGTGACTGGAACACTATAATTCGGATTAATAGTGGATTCAAAAAAGAAACTCAAACTGAAAAAAGTCACCATAAGGTATACTCTAATACATTTTTAATTAGTCTTCAGAAATAATTATGTAAACAGAAAGGTTCAATATTTATAAATATTTGATGTTGTTGATCACGCGATAATTATTATTATCAATTACCATAAATCCAGAAAGATAGCATCAGTGACAAATAACAATTTTCTATAAACTGTGACGATTAATATAATAAATTGTACGTGACAACCCGTAAAAATTACTAAAAAAGGCAATGTCACGGGCGTGTCTTTCTCCAGACTTTACGGTACGCAACAATTACAGAATTATGCGGTAATTTTGCATTATTCGGCAATTTTGATTATGCAAATCGTCACTGGTATCAATCAATCTATCTATGTATGAGCGATTGTTATTTCCGATTTTTCTATATATATAAAAAATATTCTAAGAACAATTCTTTTTTTGAGAAACTTATTATACATTACCATATAAGGCGAATAAATGTTTATCTTCTTTATCCATTATAAAAAAAGGCAGGAAAAATTTATTTAAGAAAAATTTAATTATTATTCTTTTTGAATAAATAATTAAAAAATGGTTGTTAGAGAAAGGGTACGTAAAGCGCTAAATGAATATGTTGATGAACATCGAGATAATATTTATCAACATGTAGATAAAAATCTTATAAAATTAAAAGCTGTAATCGTTGAGAAATTACCAGATAAAGTAATGGAATTCTTAAAGAAACGTATAGATGATGGAGATGATCAGCATGATACATTTTTAGAAAATGTAATGCAATTTGTTGGTTCAATCAGCGGAAAGTTGTCTGATGATTTCAAAGAAGATATTAGAAATTCCACCAGAGAACATATTGATGATGCGACTATAAATTCATCTGACGATTTGACCAATTTAATTGTTAAACGTAGCAAGGAAGTAATTCTTGACATGACAACTGATAGTGATGATGAAGAAGAAACAAAAAAAAAGAAATCGTCATTTAGTAAAAATTTGGATTTAGGAATTTTGAAAGATGGTAAAGAAGGGATCATCAATAGGATTGTTGAGTTGATTAAACCACCAATTCATGAATCAAGTGATGATATAAAGAAAAAGATTGCCGGTAGATTACCAGATCAAATTAAATCTAAATTGATTGGTAAAATTAGTGGTGGATTCATTGGTTCGAAATCATCAACATCAGATCGTGGAATTTTTCATAGTAGTGCTGATGGAGATAAATCTGGTGATAAATCAGAAAGTAAATTAAAGAAGGTGTTTGGAATATTTTCGAAAGACGATAAAGAAGGAGAAAAGAAAAGCAATTTCATCAATAAAATTTTTGATAAATTACCTGACAAGATTGAAGAAATATTAACACCATATATCGTAGGATTTGAACAGAGTGTTATTGAACATGTTGAAACTGAATTGAGAAGCAACATTTTCAGCAATGATAAATTCAAAGGTGGTGTTAAATCTTTATTAAATAAATTTGGAGATGATGATGATGATGATGATGACGACAATGGCGGTAATAATGTTTTTGGAAATGTAACTAGTAAAATTGGATCAATGTTTACGAAGAAATAGAATGATAATTATAAATAAATTAATAAATTAATTTATTTATCATTATCGTTATGCATAAAAATTTACTCTTAAAAAATAATTATTATATATGTTTATTATTCCAGAAATCAACCGAATAAATAAACAGATAAAAACATTATCATCATCATAATTATGAGTAGTTAATGAATGTTCTATTGCTATGTTCAACGAGCAGACTTATAAAATTTGTTCTCGATTTTCAAATAAAGTCCTAATTTAAATGAAGAAATCTACGGTGGGACAAAAGTTTAAGTCGAACCCCAAGCATCTAAAGGTTAAGGTACATTTACTAATAAAAAAAAGGTACTTTATAATACTCGATAAAAAGAAAGTTATGCGTGTGGTCGCTATTGAGAGGGTTTTCTTGATATGAAATTATGTATGTCGTCAATTTTCTGTACTAATATTATTGTGTTTTCTATCATTGAGTACTTCTGACAATGATCTCTCACAAGATAGTTTGTATAGTTTACTGTAGTGTCAGGAAATTTGTAATGTAGTCGCCATTTTTAAAGTAAATTCCCTGGTCGATGATCTGCGAATTGGGAATTATATAATATAAATATTAATATTTTTGTTTAGAAATCGACTTCCATTTATTAGAACTCTGAATTCAATGTAAAATAAATAACTCGCATTGAAAATTTTTAGCTTGAGAAAAGAAAAAAAGAGGGCATGTGTAAAAATGGTGTCCAAGTAAAATGATTGAAAATAAAATATAATTTTCTGTTGTAGCCTAATACCAATTTTCTATCACAAGGAGTTGTGTAAACGGAAAGGTATGCTCTTATTCCTTTAATGTCAGAAAATCATTCAGACGAACATAAGAAGTATTAATTACTATATAATGGAATCCTAGTATTTCTTAATAGCACTTTTTTATATGCTGGTGACGTTGTTTTATTAACAAGGCAAAAAAACATTTCTCTCATATACGTGTATTAGAATTATTGGAACTTTATCTGCATTTGATAAGAATCTACTCATTCAGTAAATCGAATCTTAATTTAATTTCATCACTATCTGTGTAAACTTCAGCATTTTGATTGAATGGTTCATATGAAATTTCTACAAAAAACAGTTCATGTTGAATTCTGTTTTTTTATATCATAACCAATTATACTTCCACCTTTATGAAATAAGGCCAATATGAAGAAATTGGTCATGCATACTCATCTGAGGGTAATTTTAGACAGACAATGTTTAGATATGATAAGGAAAGTTTTTTTTTAAAAAAAAAACATATAATATCACACAATATAATAATAACAATAACAATAACAATAACAATAACAACATTTTTTTTTCCCATAAAAGATGTTAAATACAGTGATAATAAAAAGAAAATTTTTATAGAAGGTTAAAGTTGGATTTTAGGATGAAAAAGATACTAAGATAAGCTATTATTAATATTGATGTGATTTCAGGAGAATAATTATTTTCATGATGATTTATGGAATATCAAATATCTTCCACAGTTCAAATGGAATAATTTAACATATAAAGCTGTTTTGTATAAATATATAAAATGCTTTTTATAAATCTTTATTTTATAATTAATTTCAAAGAAAAAAATTATCATGATTAAAAAAATATTGCATACAAGAATGTCGCTAGAATTCAACATCTCACAGCAGAATTTCACAATAATAAAGAATATATAACAAAGAAACAGTTCTAAAGAAAAATCCAGTCTTAATAATAATAAAAATTCTTCTATTTAACCAATTAAGAAATTATTATTTTGTAGCCCCACATTTTAATATAAATATTTTTTTGGGCTGATCCTGAAAGATTTAAAAAAGTTTTTTGTGCTGCTACATTCTTCTGTTGAATGCCTGATAACATCAAATTGGATTAAAATAATTGTGTTCCTTTAAGTTATATAACTCTGATTTTATTTAAATATATGTAAATAATTGTCTTATTATAAATAATATAAAATTTTATTACATAAAATAAATCTAATAAGTTATAAAGTTTCAGCCATTGTAGTATTCCAAAGGTTTCAATGAATCATCATTTTATGTATTATATATAAAATTAAGTAAAAATATTACATATAAATGTAAGAAATGCTAACCAATAATACGAGTATCTAAAGCTGTATTAACTTTGGTTAAATTATTCTTTCGTTCTCTTTTATATTTGTTTTTAATCTGGTCACGAGTCTTTCTACCACAAAATGTTTTCTTTGAAATTATTTCAAAATCTGTTCCCCATAGTGATAATGCCTTAATTATAAATTTTAAAAGATTATAATTTGATTTCATTAAACAAAAAAAAATAACAATTTTATTATAATGAAAATATCCACCTTGAAAAACAAATCTGTATCTTCTTGAGACCATCTTTCAATTCTTCTTGGATGTTTGGAATATGTTGCTGAATTTACCAAATGTGAAAAATTATCTTCTTCTATAAGTTCCAATCCTTCATCACTAACAGGATTTCTTCGAATCGGTTGGCGAGTTTCACGAATAGTGTACTGTCCATCATCATTCATTCCAAATTTACTATTACGTTGATCAAATGTGCGACTAACAAAATCAATAATAAATTAGCAATTATATATGTATTGGACATTATCAAGATATCTTGCATATATAAAATTTATACCGTTTTAAAAGTACTGGCTTGTTTTTATTATTATCATTATCATTATCATTATCATCGTCATCATCATTATCATTACTATTATTATTATTATTATTATTATTATTATTATTATTATTATTATTATTATTACTATTGTTATTGTTATTATTTAAAGAGCTATTTTCATTTTCACTTGATTCGTTTCCTATAGATTCCACCTCGCCATTATAGTATTCTTCATTATCTTTATAGAATTCTCTTAAATTTGTTGAAAATTCATCATCATCATGTATTTCTTCATCTTCATAATGTTCTTCGATCGTATTTATTTCCATCATCTCTTCTCCATCTTCTTGATTCTCCTCATAATTATTTTCACTTTGATCTAAATGTTCAATATCAACTTGATCAATTTCTGATGAATCATTTTTATCCTTGATAGAATCGCTATTTCTTACCAAATTATTAATTGGCTCGTCTAGTGGTTGTTGTTGTTGTTGATTCTGTTCATTATTGTTATCATCATTATCATCACCGATTTGTAAATCAGTGTCAATTAAGTCTATTGTGATACTTTCAGTATTTTGTTCAGGAATATCTTCATCTTTTGAAGAGTTTTTTTTCTTTGATTTTATTGCACGTTTTTGTTGTGAATTTTGATATTTTTTGAGCTCCAATTCTTTGAAAGTTTTTGATTTTCTTCCTCTTTTCATATCCTTATTACACAATTCTGCCATTGTAATCTCACTATCATCAAAAGGAATTTCTTCTTCCGGATCATCCTCCCAAGCTCTTAATTTCTTATTACTCTCAGTTTTTTTTACAAGATTATTGCCTTTACGTTTTTTATTTTGTTTTTTACTTTGTTTTTTAATTTTAAAAAATCTATTGGAACTACTAGAATGATGATGAAAATTCATTTTGTCGCATTCTGTCAAAATCGAAAAAATATTTATATGCTCGCGTAACGTTGCTAATTAAAACAAAGGAAATACAAATTGTAACTTACTAATACTAATACTAATAGTAATAGTATTGATTTTTCTATATGTGAAAATAAATTCGAAATTCGTGTCACATGAAGTTTTCTTAAAATATCTTGTTATTTTTATAATAAACTCGAACTTTGTTGTTAGAAAGTACTCCATTAAAGCTTTCTAATGAATGCTCTTTCATATAGAAAGATCTTCTCTACATGAATTCACAGCTATTCAAAAACGGTATTACTTTTTCACTTCAAACCTCAGATTATTTCTCAATATTGCTTTAAAAGACTTGATAGTAAATGAGAAGGTGTAGAATACTTTAAGCTTTCATATGGTCATTACTTTATGGGGGGTATTGGTTAATAAGTTTTAGAGAGGTTCACGAAAAACTATTTTATAGAAATTTAGTAGTCATGAAGAATTTTTGTAGATGGGATTCAGCAAAAACTAAAAGGTATTTTATTAGATTGTTTTATATTTCTGACTTTATATTGATTAAAGTTTCATTAATGATTATTATGAATATCTATCAATCAGTAGTTGTTGTAGCAACATTAAATAATAATATTAGTAGCAATAAATAGCAAATGACGATAACGAATCATCGTTTTTTGAGGATGGTAATAAAGATTAAGATCCAGTTTGTGTAGGAGTGATCGAAGTAAGCATTAAGGACAAGATCTATGAACAAAATATAATAGCAAACCTTTTATTAATTATTCAATAGTTTGTATAGGAGTGATTGAAGTAAGTATTAAGGACAAGATCTATGAACAAAATATAATAACAAACGTTTTATTAATTATTCAATAGTTTGTGTAGGAGTGATCGAAGTAAGCATTAAGGACAAGATCTATGAACAAAATATAATAACAAACATTTTATTAATTATTCAATAGTTTGTATAGGAGTGATCGAAGTAAGCATTAAGGACAAGATCTATGAACAAATATAATAACAAGCGTTTATTAATTATTCAATAGTTTATATAAGATCTATGAACAAAATATTCTAACGAACATTTTATTAATTATTCAATACTTTGTGTAGGAGTAATCGAAGTAAGCTTTAAGGACAAGATCTATGAACAAAATATAACAACAAACGTTTTATTAATTATTCAATAGTTTGTGTAGGAGTAATCGAAGTAAGCATTAAAGACAAGATCTATGAACAAAACATACTAACGAACGTTTTATCAACTATTCAATAGTTTGTATAAGAGTGATTGAAGTAAGCGTTAAGGACAAGATCTATGAAGCTTGCGAAGCAAGTTTTACAAAAATGAACATTTTATCAATTGTTCAATAGTTGTTTATTTATGTATATAAATTTCTTTTATTTTAACTTATATTTAATAACATCATTATGACAAATAATTAAATGAATAAAGTCAGAGATAAACACCTTTTAATTTAATTATTATTGTTGCTTGTTTACTATTATAATTATTATTTAATACACAGTGAGTCTCGGTATAACGGATATGTTTGTTCCAGGAAATTTATCCGCTATACCGAGTCATCCGCAATACCGAGAACATAAAAAAATCGAATTTTTGATTAAATCATGTGATACATGTTGCGTAAATAATTTTATTTTTAAATAATATGAATGCAAATAATAATGATGATAATAAAAATACATTTGGTAAAAAAATTTAAAAAAAACAATTCATTCACTTAAAACGTTGACATTATAATAATCTTCCATTATTGTTTGCACTTGTTCTTGAGAATTTTTGTAAGAAATTTCACTTTTTAATCTTTTGACATTTCTAATTACTTGAAAATCAACATCTAAAATTTTTTTGCTGTACATATTTAAGTATAGTTTCCGGAGCTTTTATAGCCTCCATATTAATGATCATCAGCTCAGGTTCATTTGTTTCATTTGTTTCATCGTCATCAACTTCACTTTGTCCTTTACAATATTTACGATTTTAGCATATAAGGAAATAAAAGAAAATGACATATTGATAGTGTCATTGCCAAGAAATAGGTAGAAATATGTTAGATTAAATTGTGGATGTATTGCTGATTATTACAATTATTTTACATTCTTAATAATATTTAATATTAATAATTGCGCGTCATTACACATATTAGCCCAAAATAGTAAAGATCATCGTTATCCGTAATATCGAGAAAAATTTATTATAAGTGACATATTAAATATATTAATATGAATTTTTAAAAAATATCCGGTAAACCGAATTTATTATTATATGAAAAATCCGTTAAATCCGTTAAACCGAGATAAAATTGTTATAGAAAAATTTGGTTTGAAAATTTATCCGCTAAACCCCCAAATCCGCTATACCGAGATCCGCTATACCGAGACTCACTGTGTATACCGTAGGTAAAGAAAAACTTTAATGTCTATTTATTTATTATATTACTTTTAAAATAATGATTTTACTATAAAAGACATACCTAAGTGATCAAAAATATACAAATATTCATAATAATGTAATATTTGGACATTTATTTCTACTTATCAGTCGCAGGACATTGCGGATCTACAGGGGGTCAAGTGTCACTCATAAAAATTTTTTGATCAACACGGAATTTTATATGAAAAAATGAAGCTTTCATACACAAACTTGCCTGATTTAATCAAATTGTTACTTGAATCATAAAAAATAACAAATATATGGAAAAACCTTTAATTTGATTATTTTTTGCCAGGGTAAATAAATACCACTAAGCGATAATCTTAACATGAAGTTGGACTACCAGTTCTATAAGTTCTATAATAATAATAAATTAAGAAATTGGATAACATGCACGATTTCACATTGGGCTTAATTTTTTTTACATAATAACAATAAAATGCAATAGTTAAGTTCTAATTTCCAACCTTTAAATGTTTATTTTTTTTAAATTACATAATTTGTTTATAGAAAA